AACCTTCACCATTGGAGCAGCACTATCGGGTACCTTAGCAAATCCCGGGTAACCCACCAGGCCAGCCTGTACTGGACTCGGTACAGGAGGCAGATAGGGACCAGTAGCGACCGGCTCCTCTCGAGGGCCTTGTTTGGAGAAGCTACGGGCAAAGCCCGTAGCCAGAGAACCGACGTACCTGCGATAGGCGTCAACAGTGACCACCAGTGAGTCTCTGAGAGCCTTCCTGCCTTTTATAGTTTTACCGGAGAGTTCCACCACCGTGAAGACCACACACCATTTTAGAGCCACCAAGAGCCACCAGATATCTTCAGGGGCCCCTCCGCCTTCCAAGGGGTAGGGATAGCACAGTTCCTCGGCCAATAATTGGTGGAGTTCTGTGATGAAGGCCTCGAAGTGACCCTGAACAGCGGGTAGCGGATCCTGCGCTATATAACTCACGACAGTTTCGTGATCCTTGTAGGCATCACAGAAGGCGACTCCGAGAGGACCAAGTTTACCAAAGAAAGAACCACCAGACTCCTCGTTGATAGCAGTCTCGAGTAGACGAGTTGCAGCCACCAAAGCTGGGGTTCTCGGCACAGCCCCCAGTGTAGTGTTATTATGTTGACTGGAACTCTGGGCAGACATATACAACCGAGTGTATCGAGTGGAATATACCAAATGCGTCTCAAAAGACGGCTTACTTGTGCAGTCTCCTGCGGTCGTATTTCCAGACAGTCTCCTGGCGCGCGCTCTTATCAGATGGCGAGCGCCAGACATCGAATAAATGAAAAACATGGAGCATCATCACAGTGACGCTGAACATGCATATAAAAACATTCTTGTCATCTACATCAATAGTACTTTGGTAGTGACTATTTACGGAGAGAGGAGCGGTCAAGCTACGCCTCAAGGAACCCAAGTCCAGTCTACCATCTTACGCTAATCGAGGGGGCGGCACGTCCCGCCTCTATTCTCACCCCTCCCCACCGCACTGAAGCGTCCCCTTGCCACCAATCCCTTTTAAAGGGATTGGTGGCAAA